ATCAGCCACCAGGCCCAGCCCAACACCGTTCATTCTTTCCCTCCCAGAGCTCACAGTGGGGCGTGGTAATTATGAATAATTATGAATAATTTCAAGTACAAACTCAGTAAGTGCTGTGAGGGAGAAGTACAGCTAGGTATGAGCACGTAACAGGAATTCCTGATCCACCCCGGGGAAACTGCAAGAATTAGTGGAATGAATAAAACCTCTTACTCCAGAAAAGAAAAGCGGGCAGAGGAAAGGTAGACTCAGGCAGAGGGAACAGCATGTGTTGTAACCCTGGAGTATGAGGGATGCTCTGGTTTTATCCGCCACTTGACCTACTTCCTGCCCCACAGCCTGGAGGGACCTCCCTCCTACAAGCCACCGACCCCAAAAGCGAAGCTGGAGGAGCAGGAGATGGTGAGCACTTTCCCTGCAGCCCAAGCTATCCCCACCTCCACACCCACCCCTGGGCTGGGAGGAGTGCTGGGTGGTGGGGGCAGTTTCTGACCTCCCCTCCCCTCTCCTGCTGCAGCCCTCCCAGCTCTTCACTCTGGGGGCCTCGGAGCACAACCCACTCAAGACCCCCTACTTTGACGCTGGTGTCTCCTGCACTGAGCAGGTAGGAGCTCGTGGGAAGACAAAGGCGGGTTGGGGGTCTGGGTTGAAGGGCCAGGAGTCAGGCCTAGTAGAGGAGGTCAAAGACTAAAGGCCATAGCTCAAGGTCAAGGGTGTGTCCCTGGTTGGTGCTTAATGCATTGAGATCAGTTCAGGATTCCCTGGGGGGAGGTCAGGGGTAGGAAAGCACGGGATACAAGGTTCAAAATTAAAGTCACCTGAGGTCTGGGCATGGTGGTTCACGCCGGTTAACCCAGCACTTTGGGAGGCTGAGGTGGGAGGATTACTTGGGGTCAGGAGTTCGAGACCAGCCTGGCCAACATGGTGAAAGCCTGTCTCTACAAAAATTAGCCAGGCATGGTGGCGGGCTCCAGTAATCCCAGCTACTCAGGAGGCTGAGGCAGGAGAATTGCTTGAACCCAGGAGGCGGAGGTTGCAATGAGCTGACACTGCGCCATTGCACTCCAGCCTGGGAAACAAGATTGAAACTCCGTCTCAAAAAAAAAAAAAAAAAAAAAAAAGAAAGAAAATTGGGCCAGGCGTGGTGGCTCATGCCTGTAATCTCAGCACTTTGGGAGGCCAAGGCAGGCAGATCACCTGAGGTCAGGAGTTCAAGACCAGCCTGGCCAACAACATGGTGAAACCCTGTCTTTAAAAAAAAGAAAATTGATTATCTGCATTTGCTGGGTACTGTGCCTGAAGCTGAGGCAAGACAAACCAAGTCACTCCCCTCAGGGCTCTACTGAGGTCAGGACTCAGATACTGAGGTTGAGTTGAAGGCTCAAGGTTAAGTACTTGAGATCAAGACTGAGGTGAATGGTTCACTGGGAAAGATTTACAGAAATCAAGGGACAAAGGTGAGTCCCAGGATCCACAGGGTGAGGTGCATAGCTGGGCTTTGGATTAGGGATGGACCGAATGAATGTCCCAGTGCAATATGGCCCCAGGGGATAAGGAGTGAGGGGGCATCTTGTTAGCATGAAGAGAGAGTGGTCAGGACTTTGGTGTCCAGGGCAGATTGGGAATCCGGATCATACATAGGAAGTGATCTTGAGTTCCCGTCCCTTTTCCACCTCCAGGAAATGCCTCGATACCATGAGCTGCCCACACTGGAAGAGCGGTCAGGACCCTTGCACCCTGGAGCCACAAGCCTGGGGTCCCCCATCCTGGTGCCTCCAGGGCCACCTGCTGTGGAAGCCATTTCCCTGGATCTAGAGGACAAGGAGGGGGAGGAGGAAGAAGACTATCTAGACAAGATCAACCCCGTCTATGATGCCCTGTCCTACGACAGCCCCTCTGATTCCTATCAGCACAAAGCCTTTGTCATGTCCCGGGCCATGTACGTGTGAGCTGCCGTGGGCCTGGCTTCTCGAGTCTCACCTGTTGATTCCTTAGCTTTCTTGCCGAGGATCTAGTGCCCCCTGACCTCTGGCCAGGCCACTGTCAGATAACACACATCTATCTCATTTGTGACTTCTACCTTGGTGGCTCCACGGTGAGCCCTAACCCATGATCCCAGAGAATCTCACCATGATAATTGAATCCTGGTAACCTTATCTCACGAGGCAGGAGGTGGAGAAGGTGCTTCTGCGCAACACCTGACCCTAAGGACTCCTCTCTCAGACAGTGACCTTATACCGTACCTCTCACTTCCCACCAATGCCTTGCCTCCCCCAAATCAAAGAGAAGACCCTCAACCCATAATTTATCTTCAGGCAGTAAATTCCCAATAGGAGTGCTGGGGTGTATTCCAAGATCTCCCTGCTGCTCAGACCTGAGCCCTCCAGGCAGCAGGGCCCCACTTAACTCTCCTCACCCTGTTCTCCATAGGTAGGGGAGAGGGGATTCCCCAGCCCAAGGCAGAGTTTGCCCCTGCAAGCAGAAGCCTTGGGGTTCCAGACCCTTCCCTGAGCCCCTCTTTCCACCCCAATTCCTGCCTACTGAGCAACAGCTCCAGCCTAGGGCCACATGGGATGAGGGCCATGCAGACTGTTGCCTTGACTGCCCCAGCCTTGGGAGAAGAATTTACTGTTAACTTGAAGACTACTGAATCATTTTACCCCTGCCCAATGGAATAGGACCTAAACATCCCCCTTCGGGGGAAAGTGGGTCACCGGGATTGGGGGTAGGGATTGATATTGTTTTATACACTCTATTTCCTACAAAATAGGAATTTATACTTTGACCAGGTGTGTTTTCTATGGGATGTGAAGGGGATGGGGTGAGACATGAAGGGGGATGAAGGAATCTAAGGGCTTGAGAGACTCATTGAACTAGGGGTCAGGAGAGTTAAAGACAAAAAGGACCAAAGATACAAAAGAACTGAGAGAGTCATGAGCAAAAATGTATCAGTCAAAAACAAAATGTTGAGTAATGGAAAGAGATGGGGAGGGGTCGAGGGCATGGTGTTTAATGAACATAAATAATTGCAACAGTAGTCTGAGGAATAGAACAATGATAAAAATAGGAATGGGCAGCCGGGGGCGTGGTGGTTCACCCCTGTAATCCAAGCACTTTGGGAGCCCGAGGTGGGAAAATCGCTTGAGCCCAGGAGTTAAGAGACCAGTCTGGGAAATACAGTGAGACCCTGTCTCTACAAAATTAGCTGGGTGTGGTGGCACACACCTGTACTCTCAGTGACTCTGGAGGCTGAGGTGGGAGAATTGATTGAGGCCTCAAGTTCAAGGACTGAAGTGAGCTATGAGGGCACCACTGCACTCCAGCCTGGGCAACAGAGACCAGCCCTGTCTCTAAAAACATAAAAACTAAAATAGTAGTAACACAAGTATGAGAGGGTCAAGTTTAATGAATAAACGGCAAGTAAAAATAGACCAAAGGCAAAATGATTATACGTTGTAATAGGATCTCAGAGTATGGCAGGTAATAAACCTGAATGGATGAGCCAGAGGCAGAGTGATGAATAATGAAAAACTAGGGGCCAGGCGCGGTGGCTCACACCTGTAATCCCAGCACTTTCGTAGGCTGAGGCGGGTGGATCACCCGAGGTCAGGAGTTCAAGACTAGCCTGGCAATCAAGGTGAAATCCCATCTCTACTAAATACAAAAAATTAGCCGGGCGTGGTAGTGTATGCCTGCAGTCCCAGCTACTTGGGAGGCTGAGGCAGGAGACTCCCTCGAACCCAGGAGGCGGAGGTTGCAGTGAGCCTAGATCATGCCATTGCACTCCAGCCTGGGAAACAACAGCAAAATTCCGTCTCAAAAAAAAAAAAAAAAAAGGCCGGGCGCAGTGGCTCACGCCTATAATCCCAGCACTTTGGGAGGCTGAGGCGGGTGGATCACGAGGTCGAGATCGAGACCATCCAGGTCAACATGGTGAAACCCCGTCTCTACTAAAAATACAAAAATTAGCTGGGCATGGTGGTGCACGCCTGTAGTCCCAGCTACTCAGGAGGCTGAGGCAGAAGAATTGCTTGAACCCAGAAGGCGGAGGTTGCGGTGAGCCGAGATCGTGCCATTGCACTCCAGTCTAGGTAACAACAGCGAAACTCCGTCTCAAAAAAAAAAAAAAAAAAATAGGGACCGGGGAGCAAGGGAGGTAATGGACAGGAGCTCACGGATCCAAACGTGAAGAGCCGGAAGAAGGACGAAAGAGAACGGGCAAGCTAGGACTAAAAGCAGTCCGGGCAATGAAGCTCAAATGAATGGGGAGAAGGCATGATGGGTAATGAGAGAGGAATGAATGAGCCAAATATAGAAGCCGCAGTGTCGCGAGGAACAAGAGGCATGATGGGTAATAAAAGGGGTGGGTCTAAGGCAACTGTTTTCGGTAAGAGGTGATGAGGGCATTATGGGTAACGAGGAGCAGCGCACGGTTCGCAGAAGAGATTAGAATTCTCCCGAGGCACTCTGGGAAGGGCCAGCACTTCCGGTTTTAGGTCAGCTACTCGGGACCAGAGGTGGGATGGGTGCCCCGCTGCCGCGGTGCCTGGTGGGACGCGAGGCCTGACCTTGCTGCCTAGCCGCCTGGGCCGCGCAACCCATCTTTACCTGTCCTTCGACCCTGGCACGTTAGCCAATGAGAGCACCAAGCTAGTACGCCATCAAGGTTGGCCCCGTACACGCTGGAGCCAATCAAAATGCTGCAAGGGTCAAAGCCGACCAATTATCTCAGCAACTTCGTCGCGGGGCGGAATCAAAAGAGGGTCTCCTTCAGGAGAGAGGCGGGGCGACGCCTCTGTGGGCGTGGCAAAATGCTCAGCACAGGCCAATGGCAGGATAGCACCGGAACCCGCGGCGACGCTAGCCAATAGGCGTAGGCGCGGCGAGCTAATGTGAAGGGCGGGAGGAGCGCCGAGACCTGCTTGCGAGTCGGAACCAATACAAAAGGACATTTGAGGAAACGTGGGCGGGACTTTATTCATAAGCCCAATGGAAAGACCGATTCTTGACACTGGTGGGCTGGCCTCAGAGCACACTGAACCAATGGGCTAGGCGGGGCGGGACGACGGTGGTGGTGGCGGCGGAGGCAGCGTGTTCGGTTGCGCGTAGTGCACGGGGTGGGAGCGGAGCCCAGGCCGGGAGCGGGCGCCGCCGCCAGTGAGAACCGGGGCCCGGAGCCAGGCGGGGGTTTGGTGGGGCTGAGTTTGGGGCGCGCGGGACCTGACCTTCGCCCTCTGACCTCTCCCCTCGCAGACGACCATGGGAAACGTGTTGGCCGCCAGCTCGCCGCCCGCAGGGCCGCCGCCGCCGCCAGCGCCGGCCCTCGTGGGGCTGCCGCCACCTCCGCCCTCGCCGCCGGGCTTCACGTTGCCGCCGCTGGGAGGCGGGCTGGGCGCCGGCACCAGTGCGGGTCGAGGTTCGGAACGGACCCCTGGGACTGCAACCGCCAGCGCCGCAGGGGCCACTGAGGATGGGGCCTGCGTCTGCCTGCCCAACCCGGGCACATTCGAGGAGTGTCACCGGAAGTGCAAGGGTGAGGGGCGAGGGCCCCCCCCCGGGGCTGCGATGGCCCGGATCTCGGGGGAAGGGGGAGGACACTGGGGACTTTGGGATTTGGCGCGCACCGTTGGAATCATTTAACAGCACTAGGAGGTGACGTCGGGATCGGATGTTGGAACGTTGGACTTGGGGCTTAGAATGATGGGATGAAATGGTGGAAACGGGATGGAATGCCACAGGAGTAGAGAAAAGCCTTAGGGACCTCAGGCGCCCCGGGACCAGCTAAGCCAGACTTGTCTTGCGATCGGGAAGGGAACTGAGGCCCAAGGTCACAGTGTCAACAAGGTGTCAGCAACGTTCTGTGGGGGCAGAACCCAAAGCCTCCGGATCCCAGCCTGGATCAATTAGAGTAGTAACAGTGGTAGAGGTTTATGGAACTCCGTTCTGTTGTCATTATATGTTAACTCATTGGATCCTTGGGACAGTTCTGTGTGGTGAGGGTCCCATCTTACATATGACTAAAATCTTTGCTTAAAGTCGCTCAGCTAGTAGATGGTGGCAGTGAGGTTTGGGTGGGCACAGGCCCTGGCCCTGTCTAACTAGGCTGTACTGCCTCTTTACAGGTGGGATCCTTTGTGAGATGCTCTGCTATGGGTCTCTGGAGAGAGCTGGGGATGAGAGTTGGTGTGGGGTTGGGGTGAGTGTGACGGTGTTTCTCTCCTCCAGAGCTGTTTCCCATTCAGATGGAGGGTGTCAAGCTAACAGTCAACAAAGGGTTGAGTAACCATTTCCAGGTGAGCCTTCCTGGTGCCCTGGTACCCACCAGAGGTCATCCCCACCATCCCCCTGCATCCGCACACGCAGCCCTCTTACCCCTCGCACAAGACCTGGGCTCCTTGGTACTTAAAAAGACTCGGAGATGCAGTGCCAGACTAACTACTCAGTTTAGGGACCTGTCCAAAGGTACTGTCTACCTATAGCAGCTGGGCTGAGTGAAGGAGCAGGTATGTGGGCCTACCAGTAGCACCTCCTTTCTCTGAGTCTCTCATGTAGTCAGGCCGTGCCTCCCAGTGTTCATGGCCTGCCCAGCCCTGGGACCTTCTCCCTGCCCCTTCAGTGGGCAAGCGCATCTGTCCAGGATCCTCACAGTCCTCGCTCTTCTCCCAGGTGAACCACACAGTAGCCCTCAGCACAATCGGGGAGTCCAACTACCACTTCGGGGTCACATATGTGGGGACAAAGCAGCTAAGTCCCACAGAGGTGAGCTTTCTTTTGTTATCCATTCATTGTATCTTTCTAGTAACAAATATGTAGCCAAAAGCCAAGCTAAGAAGGCCTCATCAGGAAAATGTCATGGCTGCAGAGATCTTGGGGATGGGGACTACATCTCTCCGGTTCATTGGAACAGGAGTGATTCCTTCATTCAGTAAACATCCCCTGAACCCCTGCTCTCTGCTTGTCCCCATGCTGAGCAATGCTGGGGGAGTGATCACAATACCCCTGTCACCAGACAGATGTGAGCCAGGTAGTAAGGGACTGGGCTGGAGATCATGCAGAACTCTGAATGACAAACCTGGCTTTGGACTTTCTCTAGGGGGTAGTGGAGAGTCATATGGCACAGTTTGGTCAAGGGAAAGATGTGGTCCATACGTTCATGCTGTAGAAATTGTGTTGTTTTTTTTCCCCCCTTTTTTTGAGACAGAGTCTTGCTCTATCACCCAGGCTGGAGTGCAGTGGCACGATCTCCACTCACTGCAACCTCCACCTCACAGGTTCAACTGATTCTCCTGCCTCAGCCTCCCAAGTAGTTGGGATTACAGGCGCCTGCCACCATGTCCAGCTAATTTTTGTATTTTTAGTGGAGATGGGTTGGCCAGGATGGTCTCGAACTCCTGACCTCAAGATCTGCCCGCCTCTGCCTCCTAGAGTGCTGGGATTACAAGCATGAGCCATTGCACCCGGCCGGAAATACCTCCTTAGAAGCATCTCTGGGGCTGCCATGTGGGGGCTGGTTATTAGGGGAAGGGACAAAACTGGAGGCCTAGACAGGGTTGGGGGGACTCAGGTCTCTGCTTCTATTGTTTTCCTTCAGTAAATGTGTTTATTCCACAAACCTACACTGCACAACATGTTCTGTGCCCAGCCCTGTGCTGGGCACACAGCAGTGACGAAACAGCCATGGGACTCACCAGTGGGTCAGGGGACAGATGGGTTCCCAGAGAGTAACAAGCTGGGATGGGCAGGGCTGACATGGGGGAACCCAAAAGTAGAGGAGCCTAACTCAGGACTAAGTGGTCAGAGAGGGCTTCATGGAGGAGGCAACCCCCATCCAAGGCTTTCTGACCCTAGGCTTCTTGCCCCGGCCCACCTCATGTACTTACACAGTGCCGGGCCTCTGACGCCTGCCTTTCCCTCTGCCTCACAGGCGTTCCCTGTACTGGTGGGTGACATGGACAACAGCGGCAGCCTCAACGCTCAGGTCATTCACCAGCTGGGCCCCGGCCTCAGGTCCAAGATGGCCATCCAGGTGAGTGGGGTACGGCAGCTGCTGCTCCTCTGGCCACCGTGGGCCAGGAGCTGCCCTCACACCCGCTTCCCCCCAACAGACGCAGCAGTCGAAGTTTGTCAACTGGCAGGTAGATGGGGAGTACCGGGGCTCTGACTTCACAGCGGCCGTCACCCTGGGGAACCCAGACGTCCTCATGGGTTCAGGTAAGAGGCACAGGGCTTGGTGGTCGCAAACCCGCCCCTTTTGTGCACCTCCTTTTCTGCCATCAGAGAAGTGGTTGAGCAGGAGTGACTTTGAAACATCAGGCAATGTGGTACAGTGGGTGAGATGGTTCAGTGGTGAGATGGTACAGTGGGTGAGATGGTTCAGTGGTGAGATGGTTCAGTGGTGACATGGTACAGTGGGTGAGATGGTACAGTGGTGAGATGGTACAGTGGTGAGATGGTACAGTGGGTGATATGGTACAGTGGTGAGATGGTACAGTGGGTGAGATGGTACAGTGGTGAGATGGTACAGTGGGTGAGATGGTACAGTGGTGAGATGGTACAGTGGGTGAGATGGTACAGTGGTGAGATGGTACAGTGGGTGAGATGGTACAGTGGTGAGATGGTACAGTGGGTGAGATGGTACAGTGGGTGAGATGGTACAGTGGGTGAGATGGTACAGTGGTGAGATGGTACAGTGGGTGAGATGGTACAGTGGTGAGATGGTACAGTGGGTGAGATGGTACAGTGGTGAGATGGTACAGTGGGTGAGATGGTACAGTGGGTGAGATGGTACAGTGGTGAGATGGTACAGTGGTGAGATGGTACAGTGGGTGAGATGGTACAGTGGGTGAGATGGTACAGTGGTGAGATGGTACAGTGGGTGAGATGGTACAGTGGGTGAGATGGTACAGTGGTGAGATGGTACAGTGGGTGAGATGGTATAGTGGGTGAGATGGTACAGTGGTGAGATGGTACAGTGGGTGAGATGGTACAGTGGGTGAGATGGTACAGTGGTGAGATGGTACAGTGGGTGAGATGGTTCAGAGCCACGGTGCAGTCTTAACTGAGATTTTATTTTGTATTTTAAAAAACTGGCCGTGCACAGTGGCTCATGCCTATAATCCCAGCACTTTGGGAACCCAGGGCGGGCAGATCACGGGGTCAGGAGATTGAGACCATCCTGGCTAACACAGTGAAAACCCATCTCTACTAAAAATACAAAAGATTAGCTGGGCGGTGGGCTCCAGTAATCCCAGCTACTCAGGAGGCGGAGGCAGGAGAATTGCTTGAACCTGGGAAGAGGAAGTTGCAGTGAGCGGAGATTGTGTCATTACACTCCAGCCTGGGTGACAGAGCGAGACTCCATCTCAAAAAAAATTTAAGATGAGGTCTTGCTGTATTGGCCAGGCTGGTCTGGGAATTCCTGGCCTCAAGCAGTCCTCCTACTTTAGTCTCCCAAAGTGCTGGGATTACAGGTGTGAGCCACCTCAGCTGGCCAGGGAAAGAGTTTTTCAGCCTGTGGGCAGTACAGTCAGGACTCTTAAAAGGGACCTCAGGGATTATGGTCACCTGATACCATAAGGCTTTGCAGAGCTTTGGCCTTCACTCTGAGTGAGTCTGGGCAGAGCTTCTCACAGGACCCCGCAGCTGGCATAGGAAGCAGACTTCAAAAGGTACCACTGGGAAGGGGTGGAGCCGGGAGAGGAGGTTGGATTCTGGGTGTTGTTTGAAGGTCGAGCTGCTGGATTTACTGAGATTGGTTGGAGGCAATGACTCCGTACTTTTTGGCTGGAGCTGAAGAGTGGTTCCTGGCTTTGTGTCTTTGCACAGCCATCCGCTTCGTCGTGGAGAGCAGGCTTTTGGGCACTGAGTCCTGAGTGATTGGCTTATACAGTTGGGGAGCCAGGGTTGGCTTCAGACCCCTGGGAGTGCCCAGGGAGAGTCACCACTTCTCCCTGCAGGAACCTAGGGAGACTTCTCAGAGGAGTGATCACCTTTGAGCTGCCAGAGGAGGGGAAAGGGCTACGCCAGCTGGGGCACAGGAGCAAGAACATTCCAGGCAGGGAGCAGTGAAGGGAAGGGCCATGGCAGAAAACAGGGAACTTGGAGACAGCAGCAGGTGCAGAGAGGCCTCCTAAGTGAGGCCGCTCTGCAGGGCCCCATGAGGAAGAAACCTGTTCAGCCAGGCATCGTGGCTCATGCCTGTAATCCCAGCACTTTGGGAGACTGAGGCAGGAAAACTGCTTGAACCCGGAAGGTGGAGGTTGCAGTGAGCCGAGACTGGCCACTGCACTCCAGCCTGGGCAACAGAGCAAGACTGTCTTGGGGGACAAAGGAAAAAAGAAAAGAAACATTTCCAGCCCATTCCTGCCCTCTTGGGGGTCCCAGGTCAGGCACAGTGGCTCACACCTGTAATCCCAGCACTTTGGGAGGCCGGGGTGGGTGGATCACTAGGTCAGGAATTCAAGACCAGTCTGGCCAAGATGATGAAACCCCATCTGTACTAAAAATAGAAAAACATTAGCTGGGTGTGGTGGTCCCAGCTACTCAGGAGGCTGAGGCTGAGAATTGCTTGAACCCAGGAGGCGGAGGTTGCAGTGAGCCGAGATTGCACTACTGCACTCCAGCCTGGGTGACAGAGTGAGGCTGTTTCAAAATAAATAAATAAATAAATACGTACATACTTGAGGGTCTCATGGCCTCAGTTCCAAGAGTTCCTGGAGCTCAGAGGCCAGAGTCCAAGTCACTCACTCTAGATGGCAGCTTTTCCCTCTGTGGGCTTTGGTTACCCCACAATTGAATGGGGGATGATACTGACCAGAATGGTAATGGTGGTGATGTGTTTCTTTTTCCCCGAGACAGTCTCTGTCGCCCAGGCTAGAGTGCAGGGGCACGATCTCAGTTAACTGTAACCCACCTTCTGAGTTCAAGTGATTCCCCTGCCTCTGCCTCCCAAGTAGCTGGGATTACAGGCATGCACCATCACACCGGGTAGTTTTTATATTTTTAGTAGAGACGGGATTTCGTCATGTGGCCAGGCTGGTCTCGCACTCCTGACCTCAGGTGATCCGCCTGCTTCAGAGTACTGGGACTACAGGCTTAAGCCACTGGGCCCACCGTGATTTTTCTTTTTAAGACAGGGTGTCACTCTGTCTCCCAGGCTGGAGCACAGTAGCACAATCATGGCTCACTGCACCCTCAACCTCCCCAGCTCAGCCTCCTGAGCAGCTGGGACTATAGGTGTGCATCACCACACCCAGCTAGTTTTTTGTACTTTTTTTTTAGTGATGTGGGTCTCGCCATGTTACCCCAGCTGGTCTAAGACTCCTGCGCTTAAGCAGCCTTCCTGCCTCAGCCTCCCAAAAGTGCTAGGATTACAGGGGTGAGCTACTGCGCCCCACCAGTGTGGTGGTGATTTAATAACCAGTGATCTGGGTCGGGGTGTCATCTCGTCGAGGAAGGAGATTCACAAGGTGGCTTGCCCAAGCCCATGGGGACCGGCTCCAGCCCACTTCTGAGCTCAGCCTCTCTAAAAGATGCCACCAGGGCACTGGCCATGAAGTCATGGCTCATGTTGGGGGATGCCACCAACACTCAGCCACTCTAGAGCTCCACCCAGCTGTGCCTGCAGGCATGGAAGGCCCCTACTTCTGCAGCTCCAGAGAGAGGGCTCCGGCCGGCTCCAGGCTAGCAGGCCAGCCCACACCCCCTTTGGGGCCCCAAGTCTGCCCCTCTGGTTGTCTGTCTGGGAAACATCTTTGCACCTGACTTGCTCTATGCTGTCTCAGCTTCTCCGTGTCCTCATTCTTGTGGCCCCCCCACCCCCACTTCCCTTCTCCACGGGTCTTCCTCTTAAGCAGGCTGCAGCCTGGGACCCTGTCTGCGCGGTTGTGGTGGATTTCTCAACTGTGGACTTACTCCTTCAGTCCCTCTTCCCTCTTCACTTCCGAGCGTGTTTCCTGACTCTGCAGATATGCCGTTGCTTTTTTTCTTTTACGTATTTTTAAATTTCTTATTTTTGAGACAGGATCCCTGTTGCCCAGGTTGGAGCACAGTATCGTGATCACAGCTCACTGTAACCTTGACCTTCTGGGCTCAAGCAGTCCTCCCACCTTGGCCTCCCAAGTAGCTGGGACCACAAGAATGTGCCACCATGTCTGGCTAAATTTTTGAATTTATTTATTTGTTGGTTGCTTGTTTATTGAGACAGATTCTCGCTCTCTCACTCAGGCTAGAATGCAGTGGCGCTCTCATGGCTCATTGCAGCCTCCACCTCCTGGGCTCAAGCCATCCTCCAGCCTTCCACCCCGGCCCCTTAGCACCTGGGATCGCAGGTGTGCACCAGCACACCCAGCTAATCTTTATATTCGCCATGTTGCCCTGGCTGGTTTTGAATTCCCAGTACAAATGAACCTCCCGCTGTGGCCTTCCAATTTGCCGGGGTTACCACAAGCATGAGCCACTGTGCCTGGCCCTTTTTATTTCTTTTTAATGATAATCTGTAGTTTCATGAAATTTTTAAATTTTTTGTGGAGATTGGGTCTCACCATATTACCTAGGCCGGTCTCCAACTCCTGGCCTCAAATAAACCCTCTTGCCCCCGCCTCCCAAAGCATTTGGGATTCCTGGCATGAGCCACCACTGCGTCTGGCTTTTTTTTTTTTCTTTTTCTTTTGAGATGAGGTCTCACCATGTTGCCCAGGCTGGCTTTGAACACCTAGGCTCAAGCGATCAATCCTCCCTCCTCAGCCTCCTAAACAGCTGGGATTACAGGCATGTGCCACCACACCAGGCTTGTTTCCTTTCTCTCTCCCTCCCTGTTTCCTAGTCTCTTCCCATTTCTTCTGGCCCTGTAATATCGTATTTGTGGCGTGTACCCTGTTAGGCTCCAAAGACACCAAAGCAAATCTGTGTGTATCCTGAGGCTTGCGAAGGCAGCCCAGCGGGGGCAGACCTCTTGTGCAGCAAGCACCGCCTACTGGAGGAGCGGAGGGGTGTAGGCTTGGACCTCTCACCCAGCGTGGCAAGTCTGAGTGACAGCTGAGTGCTCACCAATGCCTCACAACCCCAAGAGGCAGCCACGGTCACAGAGAGACGATGCCCGTGTCCATGATCACCAGCCAGCCTGTGGCAGGGCTGGGATTCGAACCCAGGCCGTGCACTCGACTCACCTGCCTCTCAGCTGCACAGTGGCTCAGAGCCTGGGTTTGGGAGGTGTGAAGGCTTGGATTCCGCCCCGACACATTTCATGAGCATGAGTGAGTGACTTACCCTGTCAGCTTCTGTAAGTGCTGGGGAGCTCTGTAAGTGATGGTGGATAAATACTGCCCATATGGGCTTGTGTCGACCAGATGAGATCCTTTGGGTAATGCAGTCATGGCAGGGCCGGGGACGCTGACTCAGCGGCATGAACTGCTGGGCGATGGGTTAGGAGAAAGGAGCTTGTGTGGGAGGCCTAAGAGCAAGCGCAGGCCTCCAGCAGGGATGACCCTAGAAGGCTTCCTGGCCTGGCACCCAGGGTGGGGGAAAACTGACCATCATTTTGCCCACAGGAATCCTCGTAGCCCACTACCTCCAGAGCATCACACCTTGCTTGGCCCTGGGTGGAGAGCTGGTCTACCACCGGCGGCCTGGGGAGGAGGGCACCGTCATGTCTCTAGCTGGGAAATACACATGTGAGCCTGGGGCCCGGACTCCTGGGTCTGAGGGTGGAGGGCTGGGGGCCAGGACTCCTGGGTCTGAGGGTGGAGGGCTAGGGCCCTGAACTCTGGGGACTGAGGGTGGAGGGCTGGGCTCCTGGACTCCTGGGTCTGAGGGAGGAGGCCTGGGTTCCCAGATCCCCTTGGTAATGAGCCCCCACCCCGCTCTCTAACAGTGAACAACTGGTTGGCAACAGTGACGTTGGGCCAGGCGGGCATGCATGCAACGTACTACCACAAAGCCAGTGACCAGGTGAGTGGGTCCAGGGACTGGCTGGTGCTGCTGGGAGCTGCTGGGCCTGGAAGTCCAGGTAGGGCCACTCGCCAACTCTCGTGTGTTGCCCCGGCCTCTCCAGCTGCAGGTGGGTGTGGAGTTTGAGGCCAGCACACGAATGCAGGACACCAGTGTCTCCTTTGGATACCAGCTGGACCTGCCCAAGGCCAACCTCCTCTTCAAAGGTAAAGGCTCGGTTTCCCTATTCAGGATGCAAGTGAGAGGTGACTCAACTCTGAGTGGATTTATAGGCCACCACAGGTGCTGAGGACCTGTGGGCCTCCAAATTACCAGGGAACGCTTGTTAAAAAGTAGGTGGATAACCCTCTGCTGTGTTTTATGCTTGAAAAAAAGTAGGTGGAGCAGCCAGGTGCAGTGGCTCACACCTGTAATCCCAGCAGATTGGGAGGCCGAGGCAGGTGGATCACTTGAGGTCACAAGTTCAAGACCAGCCTGGTCAACATGGTGAAACCCTGTCTCTACTAAAAGTACAAAAATTAGCCAGGCGTGATGGCGTGCAACTGTAATCCCAGCTACTCGTGAGGCTGAGTCACAAGAATCGCTTGAACCCAGGAGGCGGAGGTTGCAGTGAGCCGAGATTGCACCACTGCTCTCTAGCCTAGGTGAGAGTGAGAGTCCGTCTCAAAAAAAAAATAAATAAATAAAATGAAATAAATAAATAGATGTTTAAAAAAATATTAGGTGTATCATCTGATGGGTGTTTGGGCCGAGCTGGAGCTTTGCACATCCCCTCCTGACCCAGCCAGCGAGCCCTCACTCCCTACACTTGCCCCTTACTTTTCTGAGACTGGTCTCACTCTGTCACCCAGGCTAGAGTGCAGTGGTGCAATTGCAGCTCACTACAGCCTCCACCTCCCTGGCTCAAGCAGCCTTCCCACCTCAGCCTCCGGAGTAGCTGGGACCACAGATGCACACCACCACACCCGACTTAATTTTTTTTTAATTTTTTGATAGAGACAGGGTTTTGCCATGTTGCCCAGGCTGGTCTTGAACTCAAGCCTTGGCCTCCCTAAGTGCTGGAATTACAGATGTGAGCCACCACCCCCAGCCAGGGTGGAAGGCACCTTGGAAGCATCCAGCCTGCCCCGTTCATCTTACATTAATAGAAACAGGGTTCCAGAGGTTTCAAGGTCACAGCCAAATCCAGACCCTCTGGAGTGCTATAGTGCAATCTTGGCTCACCACAACCTCTGCCTCCTGGGTTGAAGCGATTCTCCTGCCTCAGCCTCCCAAGTAGCTGGGACTACAGGCACGAGCCACCAGGCACGCCCCTCAATGTCCACTCTTAAGTCTTCTTGGCTGTCTGTGGCTCACAGATATTAGGTGTTTGAGCCTCATGCTGAGCAGTGCTGGGGACACAGTGGTGACGAGTTGTGTCTTCACAAGGCTCAGTGGGAGGAACAGATCATCCCCAGAGTGGGCGGGACTAGGTTGGGGGAACCCAGGCGTATGGAGGGCTTTCCAGAGGGCAGGGATCACTGAGCGGAGAGTAGAGGAGTGAGCCATTTGCTGCAGCATGAAGTTGCTGGTGGTGTGATGGGGTTTCTGGGTGGCGGGAGCAGTGTGGTTGGAAGTCTGGAAGCCGTGGGCTAGTATTGGAGGTGGTCAGGAACTCCACGTGGACACAGGGTGGGAAGCTGGCACACCTTTCACCTCAGCTCCTCCCCGCAGGCTCTGTGGACAGCAACTGGATCGTGGGTGCCACGCTGGAGAAGAAGCTCCCGCCCCTGCCCCTGACACTGGCCCTCGGGGCCTTCCTGAATCACCGCAAGAACAAGTTCCAGTGTGGCTTTGGCCTCACCATCGGCTGAGCCCTCCTGGCCCCCGCCTTCCACGCCCTTCCTCCTTCAGATTCCACCTCCACCTCCCCTCCCTTCCCTTCCTCCTCGGGTCGGGGGGGACAGCGGAAAGGAGGGACCCCGCCACCCCAGCAGCTGAGGAGGGGATTCTGGAACCGAATGGCGCTTTGGGATTCTGAGTACCACAGGCAGCGTGCTCAGGGGGCCTGGAGTCCCGGGAGGGATTCCAGGAATGCAGGGCTCGCAGGATTCTGAGCACCAGGGGCAGAGGCGGCCAGACAACCTCAGGGAGGAGTGTCCTGGCGTCCCCATCCTCCAAAGGGCCTGGGCCCGCCCCGAGGGGGCAGCGAGAGGAGCTTCCCCATCCCCGGTCAGTCCGCCCTGCCCCGTCCACTCTCCCATCTCGGTATAAGTCATGTTTATAAGTTATGGAAGAACCGGGACATTTTACAGAAAAAAACAAAAAACAACAAAAAATATACGTGGGAAAAAAAAAACTGATGGGCGGCCTCCGTTGATTCTCAAGCCTGGCAAGCCTTGTTCTGAGCGTGCCGTCTGGAGTCCGGCTGCCCTGATCTTCCCCCAGCCGCCCGCAGTGGGGCGCCAGAGGGCTGGAGCACGGAAAGCCTCGGAGCCACAGGCTTAATGCTGCTTTGAGCGCGGCTCAAGAAGGGTGCAGCATGGTCTGGGGTCGCAGTCTCCCCGGCTGGAACATCCACCATGCAGGGAAACACCACCGGCCTTCCCTTGCCCGAGGGTAGGTTCTCAACCACTCCAGCTTGACCTGGCTCGAGTGGCTACTTAGGGAGGACTTTGTCCCTGCAAACTGACACAGCGCAGATAACACTGTCTGAAAGCAGAGATGGGGGCAGGGAGCTAGGAGAGGGTTCAAGCTACTAGGAACAGCTACAGAACAACTAGGGTTGTAGGAACTGCTGTGTCGGAAAAAGGGCGCCAGAACTCAGGCCTGGGACGGGGGCTAGAGGCCAGACTAGGCTTCTGATGCAGCCATGGGGGCTGGGTCACATGTGTCTGAGAATGTGGTGCTGTCTGGATTTTGCCGACCACCATCAACCCCCAGCCTCCTCCAAACGGGAACTGAAACTGTCTGCCCCCAAGGTCTGGGGAGGGAGGGCTGCTGAGTAGAGCCGACCCCCTACCAGCCAGAGCAAGCAGGCCCACCCGGCACTGAGGCCTCCTCTCCAGGACCAGATGTGCAGAATCCTCTGATCCCAGCCCCTCCGGTTCTCGCTGTGTGGCCTTGCCGTTGACCTCGCTGCTGACCTCACTGCTGTACCGCCAGTTTCTCTGAAACATCTGGAGTTTATAACAGGGCTGTTGGGAAAGCCACAGCGTCTGAGCGTGCACTGTGGCCTGTCCATCGCTAGCCCTAACATAGGACCGCTGTGTGCCAGGGCTGTCCTCCATGCTGGACACACATGCTAGCTTGTCACCAAATGTATCAGTCACACAGCTGGCAACTGGCAGAGCCAGGATTCAGGCCCTGGCAGTTTGGCTCCAGAATCCTAACCCTGACCCAGAAGCACAGCTTTAATCCCCTGGAAACCAAAATGCCTCTGCCAGGCGGGGGAGGTGCTGGAATCTCATTTACATGTGGGGATGGGGCTCCCCTGTGCTCAAGTTCACCACCAAACGAAGCTATGATTAAAACCAGATCCCACTCACAAAGCCCAGATTCAGCACATGCATCGCATTGTTCCCTGTTCCCACCCTCCCATCCCACTGTTGAGCCCCCATCCCCCAATTTTTTTTTTTTTTTTTTTTTTGATACAGAGTCTCACTCGGTTGCCCAGGTTAGAGTACCTTGGCACAATCTCGGCTCACTGCAACCTCCACCTCCCAGGTTCAAGCGATTCTCCTGCCTCAGCCTCCCAAGTAGCTGGGATTACAGGCGACCAACACCATGCCCGGCTAACTTTTGTATTTTTTTTAGTAGAGACGGGGTTTCGCCATATTGGCCAGGCTGGTTGAGAACTGCTGACCTCAGGTGATCCACCCGCCCTGTCCTCCCAAAGTGCTGGGATTACAGGTGTGAGCCACTAAACCTGGCCTCCCCCCGACTTTCTTTTTTTTTTCCCAAAGAGTCAGGCTGGATTGCAGTAGTGAGATCTCACCTCACTGCAACCTCTGCCTCCCAGATTAAAGCGATTCTCCTGACTCAGCCTCCCGAGTAGCTGGGATTACAGGTGCCTGCCACCACGCGTGGCTAATTTTTGTACTTTGAGTACAGCTGGGTTTCCACCATGTTGGCCAGGCTGGACTCAAACCTCTGACCTCCAGTGAGCCACCTACCTCAGCCTCCCAAAGTACTGGGATTACAGGTGTGAGCCACCACTCCCGGCTCCTCCCATCCCACTTCTGTCTGGCCCCCTAGCCCCACTTTCTCTCTGGGATTCAGAAGTCCAGGTCCCAGCTCCTTCTCCAGAGTGCATTCTTCCTGGCACAGGAAAGGATAGGGTCAGGGAAGGAGGACTCCGTGCAGCCTGCAGGTTCCCCCTCCTGCTTGGCCCCCAGAATGGAGGAGGGTGTCTGGATTACTGGGTGAGGTGTCCTCCCTTCCTGGGGACAGTTGGGGGTGGTCAAAAGGCCTCTATGCCCCACCTCCTCCCTCTGCCCTGCTGTGCCAGGGGCAGGGGGAGAACAGCCCGCCTCGTGACAGGGGGCTGGCCCAGCCCGCCCTATCCCTGGAAGAGGGGGCGGGACAGGGGGAGTCCTATAATTGGACGAGTCTGGGAGCCTCCAGTCTTACTCAGCCCCAGTGGAGGTGAAGGACGCGTTCCCCAGGAGCTGGTGAGAAGCATAGGGAGGGCGCACAGCTCAGCTCAGGGGCCTCTAGGAAGATGTAGCTGGGACCTCGGGGAGCCCTGGCCTCCGGGAAAGAAGTCTCAGGAGAGCTACTTGGGTTTGGGCTGGGGGAGGGGAGGAGTTGGGGGTGAGGCCAGCGGCAGGGGAGTGGACCTGGGCAACAGAGGTGATCTGACCTGCTAGGTGGGGTGGGGAGAGCAGCTGGACTCGGAGCTAAGTCAAAGCAGGACCCCACGAGTTGTCACTGCCATTTATTGAGCACCTACTGGGTGTCCCCATTGTCTTCTGACCTCCCTACTTGGGGATCCAGGGGCAGCGACAGCGTAGCTAGCCGCCGACTGGAGAACTTTAAATGAGGACTGAACTACCTCATAAGTGGAAAACGCTCTCAGATGTGAAACTGGAGCTTAGAATGTGAGGGGAGGATGAGGAATGCGACGCTGGGACTGAGATGGAACGGGTGGTGAGGAGGGGGCAGGGGGTGAAATTTGAACCCTGGGAGAGGAAGATGGAATTTTAACTATGGAGGCCGACCTGGGGGATGGGGAAATGAAAGAAGACCAGAAGGCAATTGAATAGGCACTGGATGGGGGAGGCTTGGTGAATGTCTGTTGGGATTAGGCCTTTGCAGATAATGGAGCAAGGCTTTGAAGGCTAGGCTGGGGTGGGGCCGGGTTGGGGGTGGGAGTTCTCGCTGGGGGTTGATTGACTTCTCCCTCCCCAGACTGGCCAATCACAGGCGGGAAGATGAAGGTTCTGTGGGCTGCGTTGCTGGTCGCATTCCTGGCAGGTATGGGGGCGGGGCTTGCTCGACTTGCCCACTTCTCCCCCCTCCACACCAACCTCCTGACCCCATTCAGGCAGGTCTGAGTCCCATCGTCAGCTGGTCTGTCTTCTTGAAGGGAAGGCTCAGGTCTGAAGCTTCCGTGCCGCTCCCTGGCTCTGAACAGCGATTGATGCTCTCTAGGCCTGTTTCCCCAATCCTTGAGATGAGAGTTTTTTCTTTTTGGTGGGGGGAGGGGCAGCCTAACTCTGTCATCCAAGCTGGATGGAGTGCAGTGGCGCGATGTTGGCTCACTGCTGCAACCTCCGCCTCCCGGGTTAAAGCCATCCTCCCGCCTCAGCCTCCCCAGCAGCTGGGATTACAGGCACACACCACCATGTCCAACTAACTTTTGTATTTTTAATAGACATGGGGTTTCACCATGTTGGCCAGGCGGGTCTTGAACTCCTGACTTCAGGTGATGTGCCCACTTCCGCCTCCCAAAGTGCTTGGATTACAGGCGTGATCCACTATGCCCGGCTGGGAGTTAGAGGTTTCTAATGTGTTGTCAGGTAGGTAGTGAATATCTGTGACGAATCAACTGTGATCTTTATTCCCCATCACCCCACCAGCCCTGCATGGGGCGCACAAGGACACTTGATACATGCTTTTCCATTGGCCGTGCTGGCTCACCCCTGTAATCCCAGCACTTTGGGAGGCCGAGTAGGGTGGATCACGAGGTCAGGAGATTGAGACCATCCTAGCTAACACGGTGAAACCTCGTCTCTACTAAAAATAAAAAAAAAATTAGCCAGGCGTGGTGGCACGCACCTATAGTCCCAGCTTCTTGGGAGGCTGAGGCGGGAGAATCGCTTAAACCCAGAAGGCGGAGGTTGCGGTGAGCTGAGATCATGCCATTGCACTCCAGCTTGGTCAAAAGAATGAAACACCGTCTCAAAAAAAAAAAGTAGCCAGGTGTGGTGCCCCACACCTGTGGTCCCAGCTACTCAAGAGGCTGAGGCAGGAGGATCACTTGAGTCCAGAAAGTCAAGGCTTCAGTGAACCATGTTCAGACGCTGCACTCCAGTCTGGCCAACAGAGTCTATAAATAAACAAATAATGTTTTTTTGCTGGGGGCAGTGGTTCACACCTGTAATCCCAGCACTTTAGGAGTCCGAGGTGGGTAGATCACAAGGTCAGGAGATCGAGACCATCCTGGCCAACATGGTGAAACCCTGTCTTTACTAAAAGTACAAAAAATTAGCCAGGCATGGTGGTGTGCGCCTATAGTCCCAGCTACTCAGGATGCTGAGGCAGGAGAATCGCTGGAACCCAGGAGGCGGAGGTTGCAGTGAGCCGAGATTGGTCCACTGCACTCCAGCCTGGGCAACAGAGTGAGACTCTTCCTCAAAATAAATAAATTAATACTGCTTTTCAAGTGATTAAGCAGACTCCACCCTCACCCTCCTCCTCATGGCTTCAAAGAAGCCTTTGTGGAGCACCTGTGTGCCAGGTACTGGGTGCCTGGCTGGGGGCAGAAGGACCCTGACCCAGCTTGAACTTGTTCCACACAGGATGCCAGGGCAAGGTGGAGCAAGTGCTGGAGCCGGAGCTGGAGCCGGAGCAGGAGCTGCACCAGCAGGCCGACTGGCAGAGCGGCCAGCCCTGGGAGCTAGCGCTGGGTCGCTTCTGGGACTACCTGCGCTGGGTGCAAACACTGTCTGAGCAGGTGCAGGAGGAGCTGCTCAGCTCCCAGGTCACCCAGGAACTGACGTGAGTGTCCCTATCCCGGCCCTTGACCCTCCTGGTGGGCAGCTGCAACTCCCCAGGTTCAGG